ACGAACCTGTTTTCGAATTCATTATCAATTTTCCCAATATTGTTCTGGAATTTAAAGATTTATATATCATTGTTCTTGTATATAAAGATTTACATATCATTTATATATAATTTTTATACACACACACACAAATATATATATATATATATATATATATATATATATATATATATATATATATATATATATATATATATAAGATTATATACATGGAATCGTGTGTATATAAACATTTCTATTTAATGTATAATGTTTACAGTAAAACAGAAAAGGCCTTCATAGATATTATTTGTGTATATATTGAAGTGTGTGCATTGCTTGCAGGCACAGATACCAGCTGGGCGTTTTTCTGTCAAAATAGCGTCTAGTATGAAAGTGCTTACGAATCAAAAGTGTGTCATTGAAATACTCCATTCAGAAAAGATTTGCACTCATTTATAGTCTGTAAAACTGTAAAATTAAGACCAAACTCTTAATTTAAACCTAGTTATGTGGTTTGCATTGCTCTTTAATATGGGACAGTAGCCTTATGCGGAAAAAGAATGGCTACAGCAAAAAAAGTCTTGTTAGAGAAATAAAAAAAAAAAAAAGAAAATAGCGTACTGCAGCACAAAAGTGAAAATCGAACTCGTAATTACAGGATCACTTGAAACTGTGCAGCAAATTCTTACGAAAAACTGAATTAATAATCGACAAGAATAAAGAGAATAAGATGTAAAAAGTATCCAGAAAACTTGTTGTCACGTGATCTACTGCGAGATTCGACCGATGAAATCTCGTTGTGTATGTAGTAAAGGCAAAAGGAACACACATCAACAAATATTATCTTTTCATTGATCACTTGACATCTCACGTTTATATCAAATGTACATTTAGGTCAAATCTAGTATTTTAAAGTCTTTTGATAATACAATTCGTGCCACTCCCAATTAAGGCCCTAATTTTTTTCGACACCCTCCCCTTAGGATATCTTATCTGGTTCTAGGGATAGATTTCTAACACTTGTGGTATCTCCTATCTTTGTACCAACATTTAAAACTTTTTTTTTTTTTACTTGATATTTTTACCAAGATAAATTTCGAAAATTCCCTCGACGACTTCAAAACCAAATATTACATTGCTTGTAACGCTAAAAATTACACTACTTGTCGGGCTAAATATGACATAGTTTGATGCTATTTGCTAAGCGTAGCTTAGGTGTGGCTCAAGTCCACAAATATAGAGCACCCAGTGAGGATCGAACTCACTACTCAGTCATAATTGATATTGCGAGACAGGCTTGCTATTTGACTACATCGAAGTACGCGATGGCGCAGCTTAGATGCAGCGCAAGTTAGCAATTATGGAGCGCCCAGTGAGGATCGAACTCACTACTGAGGCGCAATTGCTCTAGCGAGACACACTTCCTAATCATTACACCACGTAGAAGTGCTTATGACATTGCCTATAACACTAAATATCTAGTAGCCTTTTAATGCTAAATATTAATTTGGTTTTAAGTTAAGGTAATATGATATTGCCGTTGTTTGTAAGGTCAAATATCACATTGCTTATTAGGCAAAATATGACACTGCTGGTAAGGCTAAATACGACGTTACTTGTAAGACTAAATGTTATATTTCGTGACGTGGCTTCTCTTTGTCTTTTCTACAGATCTTTTCGTGACAATTGTTCTGATCAGCTGTTCTCCTTGGAACCTCATCTGCATGAATTTAAGCGTGCTACTAGATTGGCAGCTAGGTCTCACCGTTTTACATTTTAAATAGCTAGATGCAACCGTTGGTTCTATTCTAATAGTTTCTTTTCTCGCCTATGGAACGCCTTTCCGGTTAATTGCTTCCCTGCCAGCTACAATCTTGAAAAAGTTAAAGGTCAATCCCCATTTTCTATCTTCCTGAATCCCGAATTCCTTTTTACTTTATTGATCTTTTCCTCAATTCTCCTCACTAAAATCTTCTCATTCTCTTCCAATCTTTCAATTTTTTTTATTTTTTTTTACAAAGGTAGTTACAGGATCGAATGACAGGATCCTGGTCTGTTACTTTTCTTCACCAAAGATTCCACCAAATGAGGCTAACAAAGATTGAACTTCTGCTCCTCTGGGCTGATATTCTTCCTATGCGTGAGTGGTGTTTGGTCTGTTTGAAATAGTTTCCTCTCGAGGAAACACAAGACTCGTTTCACAGCCAACTCCGTCTGAGCGCTGCTTTTGCGCTAAAACTGGCATAGGTCAAAATGACTTTAGCAATTGCAGAAAGGGCCTCACGAGGGTCTAGAGTAAAAGGCGGGTGTCGTAAATCGTTCGATAGTTGTTTATTTTTCTTTCTTTTTAAACAGTTTGCTTTCAGAGTGAGAAATAGTTGATGGCATCTTTCAAATAAGCATATCTGTTTATTTAGCACTCAACTCACGTTTTGTCTTTTTATTTACTGACCTGATGACAATTCCAGAACAACGTAACTATAAACAATTTTTGCTATCCTCTGCAAGCCACAATGAT